TAATCGCTCGTCCCCCCCCCCCCCCTCCCCCTTCCATGGCGCCAGTTGGGCTGTGTCTGTGGCAGTGCTGCTGGACTCATGGTTTGTGTGAGGAGAATGGGCCCAGTGGGACCTGACCCAACCTGGCTCAGCCTGCTAGCACACCTTTGGACAGGACTGAGACGTGCGCCTCCTGTCCAGAGGTGCATTCCAGCTGGGCAGGCTGAGTTGGGTTGCATCCGGCCGGGCCCATTCTCCATGAGAGTCAGATGGTGATATGCAACCACATGGTCATGCCTACAATGGGTCATGGCACATTGCTGCCTGACCCTTACGGAGAACAGGCCCAGCCTGATGTGACCTGGCCTGCCCAGCTAGTGCACACCTTTAGACAGGAGCTGCATGTCCTGGAGCTAAGTATCTTGAGCTAAAATATGACTGTGACCATCTGATCCTCCAGCCACTTGTTTTAAGAACTGAATCTTTTATGGGATGTCTTGTGTTACCTTTTGGCTCTCTTTTTAAACAAAAAACAAAAGTATTCTTACAACTGTGGACTGTTCCGGACGGTAGAAATCCAGAGCTTTGCTGATGATAATCACTAGTGTGTTATTGAGTGGTATTCAATATTCTACCATTTTAGTAAAATTTAGAACAAAAACACTGTAAAATGCTATACATCTTCTCAGGAAAAGCTTTCTTATTTGAGAAATCTTAAAGACCATTGACTTGAATGAAACTCTTCATAACTTTAGGCCAGTACATTGTTCTACAACAGGAACTTCTGTGTGATATGAACAATGAGTGCATAATTTATCTGTTTTACTCCTTAGCTTTTTGTCTATATTCATAGTAAGAGCTCAGTTTATTTGCAGGGTTTGGTTGTGTTCTTTCAGCACATGCAAACTAAGTAGGTTGTGAACCATGCAGATGCAAATGATCTGGCTTCTACTGGCACTAGTTTACACTGAGTGAAATATGTTTTTAGTACGCTACAACTTCATAGCCAAATGAATGAGTTGGATTCTATTTTTGTGCATCTTCAAAATAACATTTCCAAGTTGTACTCCTTTATGCCTTTTTTAAATACCTGCAGCTGATGGAAGCTGTGACAGCGTAACCCAGAACTTTATTTGGAGGTAGTGGGCTTAAACAGACGTACCTGAGTGCATAGTTTGGTTTGCTGTCACTGATAGGTGATGACAAGAAGTGAAGAAGTCAGCCTGATGTTCTGATCAGTTTTAAATTTGTAGGACTTGAAGAAAAGATGCAATTGTGAACTTAGAATGTTTTATATGGTAAATGTGGTATGTACCAATACAACTTTAACAAGTTACTTCTCAGAATAGTAACTCTAAAACGACAAAACACTTATTATGGCCATTCCTGATATTCTGCTGAAACTGCCCACAGATGTATATTCTGTTCAGCCTTTTTTTCTCTGCATGCAGGTCTTCAAATATATTCTAAAATATAAATAGATATATATTTTTAAAATTTATTACCACTTTGTGCTTCATCATATATAGGAAAACTTTTGTCTTTTAGGTATGTGTTAATGATGAACTTGTTGCAAAGAACTTTGCTTGTTATATGTCTACTGAAGAGAACACAAATAATCCTGCAAATAAACCAAGCAAGCAGTCCGAAGAACTTTGCTTGCTATATGTCTACTGAAGAGAACACACATAATCCTGCAAATAAACCAAGCAAGCAGTCCCCATTAAGTCTCGTGGGTTTTCCAGAAAAAGTGATCAGTCCTGTACTTGCTCTTTGGCCAGTGCTCTTACAGGGAAAGGCACCCAAAAACCTAAAAACAGGTGAGCATAATGTTTATGTGCTGATTTCTGAAGTGTGGCCTGGTATGGCATGGCCTCTAGACTTTAATAAAAAAAGAAAAAAAACCCAACATTATTTTGATTGGTACCTATATGGCAACTTGAGTTCAAGTTGCACATGTGTATTTAAAATTCCACTTTAGTGCATGGAGGGGATGGATATACATAAGAATGGAGACTTTGGGGTGGTGGTATGTCTTAAGGTGTATGAATTACCCCGAACATGCACATAATGTCTTCAAGAGGAGGTTAGATAGATTAGCTGGGGTTATCTAGACCCAGCACTCTTTC